ATACTTCTTTTCAAGCCCCTCTGCAAACACATCCAGAAACACTGTCTTTCAGCCACTTCTCTCAGTGATAAGCAGAAGGAAAGCAACCTAAAGTAGAGTTTTTAAAACAAGATGGAGTTCAGCCTGCATCTTTTTGGCAGAAGCCTCTCTTATGTCAAGCACCTGGATTTGGGGGATTTTTATATAAGACAATGGATTTAGTTTGGGACAAATTAAGTTAGAGGAACTTACAATGGAAGATGTCCATTGAGCAGCTATAGTCACAGGTCAAAATGTATAATGATGCTATAGATATAAATTTTAGAATTTCCAACCTAGAGATGACATTTGAAACGTGTGAGTGGTTGAGATTTTTCAGTAGAACCCAGAAAGTATAAAGAAAGGAAATGCGACAGTGCCATGAAGTACACATAACAAACAAAATAGATTAGAGACAACATAACATGTGAGGTACAAGGGATGAACTTTGTAGCCATAATGCTTAAATTCAAATCCTATCTCAATCATTTATTAGCTATGTGACCTTGGGCAAGTTACTTAACATCTCTCATTGTCAGTTTCCTCATCTTTAAAATGAGAATAATAATAATAGAAACTACCTCAGAAAGTATCATGATGCTTAAATGAATCAGTATTTATAAAGCATTTGAACAGTCCTTAAACTCGTTGCCATCGAGTTGATTCTGATTCATAGCGACCCTATGGCACAGAGTAGAACTGCATCATAGAGTTTCCAAGGAGCTCCTGGTGGATTCGAACTGCTGACCTTTCAGCTAGCAGCCAAACTCTTAACCACTACGCCACCAGGGTTTCCGAACAACCCCTAATCCTTAGTAAATACAATTTAGTCTTTGTTAAATTAAAAAGAAAAATTATAATTTCTTTAGCCCCAAATATCGATCATCATTTGGCATTCTATTTTATTTCTCTACTGTACCTTATTTTCCTGAAGGCTGTGGTTTATCTTAATTCTCCTCTTAATTCCTTACCTGATTTTTTTTCTAGTGAGTCCTGCATAAAGTATTATTAAATTCACTACATATTTCATGTGGAAAGTAAATCTTAAGAAAGATAAAATCAATCCCTTTCTTCACAAAATAATTACCATATTTTAAAAAAATCTCAGGAAAGTTCTCTCTGGGCATATCCCAATGTAATCATCTGTTTCTAAGGATTAAATAGATAAACACTTCTCCAAAGGGCTATTTCTCTTGGTAGTTTCTTTTTTCTTTTATGTTTTATTTTCAGTTTTCAGAACTAAAATTACTATATCCAAGCAATTGCAACTGTTAGAGTTAACAGTCTCTCTTGGGTATAGTCACGGCCATCAAGTTCATTCTGTACAAGGAACTGTGCTAGTTGCTCGAAATACATAATCTCATATTCTTCACAACAGTCCCTTGGGTTAGTGATGGTTTCTTCTATATTATTAATGATAAAAATGAGGTTAGGGTGAATCTGTGAATTATCTCAAGGCTAGAGAAGTTGACACCATGCAGTGAGCAATGACTGAGCGGTTGGTTAACAAAGCAGAGCATCATTCATCAGTATATGATTGCCACTGTCTTCTGCAGCGTGTCGTCACTTGGAGGATGAAGCATGGGGTAGAAGGGCCTGATGATGGCTCTCCACCAAGATTTCCTGCCCTACTTTGCCATAGAAAATGCTTGGGAGACCTGGTATCTAGAATTTGTCCTCAGTAACTTAGAGTGGCTAATGAGCGGTAGTCTTTCCTTTCTGCTGGGTTCAGAGAGCATCAGCAACCACCTCCCACCTGTGTCCATCAGGAAGCTGACACAGAACTATTGGTAGCGTCTTGTCTAAGCAGAGATCCAGACTTAATAATCTTTACAATTTTAATGAAACTCTAAGTTAACCTTTTAATGCAGAGCTATTATCCTCAGAATATATCATAGTGATGGAGACAATAAGTATTAGAAGTTGAGAGATGGGCAAGGCTCTGTCAGATGAAACTGTCAGGATTGGCTTTATCAAGGAGATTAGACTGAGCTGAATTTGAAAGGTAAATGGATCTTGCATAGAAAAAGGAAGGAAGAACAATATTCTAGGCATAGAAATGGAACCCTGAAAGGCACCAAAGCAAAGCTAAGCCAGATATGTTTGGGCAATAAATAGTTTGGTCACTGTCTCGGTCATTGTCTTAGTCATCTAGTGCTGCTATAATGGAAATACCACAAGTGGATGGCTTTAACAAAGAGAAGTTTATTTCCTCACAGTAAAGTAGTCTAAAAGTCCAAATTCAGGGCATCAGCCTCAGGGGAAGCCTTTCTCCCTCTGTCGGCCTTCTCATCAATGTTCCCCTGGACTAGGAGCTTCTCTGCGCAGGAACCTCAGGTCCAAAGGACGTGCTGTGCTCCCAGCACTGCTTTCTTGGTGATACGAGGTCCCCATGTCTCTCTGCTTGCTTCTCTCTTTTATATCTCAAAAGAGATTGGCTTAAGACACTATCTAATCTTGTAGATTTCATCAGTGTAACTGCAGCTAATCCATCTTATTACATCATGGTGACAGGATTTACAACACATAGGGAAATCACCTCAAATTACAAAAAATGGTAGACAATCATACAACACTGGGAATCATGACCTAGCCAAGTTTAAGATATTTTTGGGGGCCACAGTTCAATCCATGACAGTCATCTAGTGCTGTTATAACAGAAATACCACAAGTGGATGGCTTCGACAAAGAGAAATTTATTTTCTCACAGTCTAGTAGGCTACAACTCCAAATTCAGGGCATCAGCTCTGGAGAAGGCTTTCTGTCTTTGTCAGCTCTGGAGGAAGGTCCTTGTCATCAGTCTTCCTTTGGTCTGGGAGCATCTCAGCACAGGAAGCTCAGGTCCAGAGGACGCACTCATGCAGCATATAATATAAAACCCAAACCGCACCTGTTGCCCTTGAGTCAATGCCAACTCATGGCAACCCCATGTGTTACAAAGTAGAACTGCTCCATAGGGTTGTATTGGCTGTAGTCTTTATGAACGCAGATCACCAGGCCTTTCTTCCATTGTGCTTCTGGTTGGGTTCGAATCGCCAATCTTTAGGTTACTAGTTGAGGTCAAACTGTTTGCGTCACCCGTGGACCTTTCATATAATTTAAAACCAAAATCAAACCCCTTGCCATGGAGGTGATTCTAACTCATAGCAACCCCATGTATTACAGAGTAGAACTGCCCCATAGGGTTTTGTTTCATGTAATATGGAAACCCTCTCATTTCTTTGAGTTAATTTCCTTTTGATCACCTGATACTGGTCATATCTTTTAAAGCAAGCATATCTAAGCATACTTTATTCTTTATCTTCAACTCTTTTCCCTCTAGATCTGTTTGCTTATCCATATCACAAATGTATGGGAAAAACAAACAAGCCCAAGACAGCAAATAAATTACGTGGAGGTAGAGACGCAGAATAATATTGAAATTCAGAAAAGGTCCAATCTGCTTCTTCCTTGCCTGGAGCTGTGCAGAGTCATTTACAGGTCACTTGATCCCTAGAAGTGTCTCCTTCCTGCTACGAGTGTTCCCCCAAAGCAGCCTGGGCATGTGGCAGAGACTCAAGTCAGTTCTATCCTTAAATGCATCAAGGCATATTCTTAATAAGCTATTTTTATATACACAAAATGAAATAGACAAAAAAGCAATTACTGCCTTTTTTGTTTAGATTTTTATAAAAAGTTCCTTAGCCTAATTCTAAGATGGTGTCTTCAGTTTCCCATGTCAACAGGTAAAAGCAGTCAGCCAATGCTCAGTAAGTGTTTGTTGCAGAATTAAATTTTCTGCCATTTTCCTAAAACTATTTATATATAAATAAAAGATTTTAAAATATGAAAGCCTCTTAAAAATCTTAAACACCAAGATTTAGATAAAATTTTCTTCGATATTTGCCTATATCTAACCTATAATTGAGGTCTCTGAGTGGTGCAAATGGTTAATGCAATAGACTGTTAACTGAAAGTTTAGAGGTTCAAGTCCACCCAGAGGCACCTCAAAAGAAAGGCCTGGCGATCTATTTCCAAAAAATCAGCATTGAAAATTCTATGGAGCACAATTCTACTCTGACACACATGGGGTTGCCAAGAGGCAGAGTCGACACCACACAACTGGGGGGAGGGGGACAAAGAAACCACGATCAAATGTTCAGAGACCTATTCAAAACTAAAGTGGTCAGTGTACACCCACCAACTAGTCTCCTTGATTATTAACTAGGTAATATATGGAACTGGATCCTTTCCTGATTTACCTTTGCAAAGCACATAGAGTTAATTTGTGAAATTAGAAAATTAGCTGGAAGCCATCCTAGCCCATTTTAGAGGTGAGAAAAATAAGCCTCAGAAAATGTTGGTGACTTGCTCAGTGTGTCACAATTAACCAGAGACTTCATGATTAGGATTCCCTCTCCACATACTAGGGAGTATAGAACATACCCGAGTTCTGAGAAGACACAGAGGAGATAGCATGTCCCTAATCTGTGACCTGACACCCACCTCCAAGAGATGTGGCTTCTTGTAAATGACTCAGAGTGAATGGCATGCTGCCTCCCTCTTCATTACAGAATATTTACCATGGAAATAAGTTACTCAGCAAAGATGTAACCAAATACATTGGAAATTTCTTTACTATCCCAACAACCACAAATAGCTATTATACTGAAACTTCTACAGATTACCATGAATAATGAAAATAAATATTTTGAAAGAGTGCAAATCAAAATTAAACTAACACTATTATTATCCTAACGCATTATTTAAATGCTACGTTCCCATTCCAAGGCTCTCCCATTTTATTTAGCATCCGCATTAATCCAGCCAGAATTTAAATTAGTCTAGATTAGGTCTTAATATATTGTTTATAGCTTTTTACTGGTGGTAAATTATGCATTTTCATCTAAACAAGTGTAGTAATTCTGTCAGATTCATGTAAAAACAATTTTGAATGTACAGCATATTGTTATATTAAAATAAATTTTTAATTTTTTTCATAGACTTGAATCAAAGGAGCCTTTCCTGTCTGTTGGGTGAGTAGATGTCTAAATATTTTAAACATCAATTATTTAACTCAAATAAACGTGGTCTTATGAGATTGTATTTTCAGTCATTTCACCCAGTATTCAAAATCATTGCATATCATTGCCTGCATCATTTCTTCAGCAATATTGCTGTCTACATTTTATAAAGACTTACCTAAAATGCTCCCTAGGCAGTTTTGTGACCTCAGAAATTCAGCTAATGAATGTCTATGGAGTACTGGGTCTGCTGTAAAAGCCAATACAGAAAATAGTGATTGTCCATATTGTCGTCATGTAAAGACATACTCCAATTTCTTGTTTTTTTAATTCCTTTGAATAACAGTTTTACTTTTCCTAGTCTGTCTACCCAATTTTTGTACTGTTTTCTTCCAATGTACTATAGGTCAGTGTTTCTTCCTCCTCCATCTCTAAATCCCTCTTCAGAATCTATATGCCTCTTTTCTCCTTTACTTCCTTTTCACCTTCTTTCCACGATTCCCTCACACTGACTGCTTCTTTGAGCACAGAATCAAAGACCCTTGAGGCAGACCGGGTGAGAAGAATAGAAATCATTCTGAGTCATGGTACGTGTCCTAATTGGGGCTGCTGGCTCTTGTGCTATCTTACATAATGTATTCTTGACAAGTACACACATGTACTGTGTTCAGGCATTTAGAACTAAGTAACAATCAGCATAGTTTTTATCTTATCTATCCAATAATCCTTTGGCTAATACAATAAAATGCCATGTTAAGGGACTTTTGCATGCTCAGCAGTTTGGTTGATGTTTTAAAGTATCAAAAAGTGTTGGAAGATGTAATCTCTAACTTAAGGAAATCCTGCTGTAGTTGAGAAAAAAAATCCACATACAGGCAGCCACTACACTCCTGCTTAATGACCGGCAACATGGTATTGGGTTAAATTTTTAAATGATCGGATCAATTTTCTTTTAGTACTTTGTCCGTGGCCCTTGAATGTTTCAGTCAGTCATTGAGCAACATGGTTCCCTCTTCCCTTCTACTCCTCATAAAAGCATTTCAGAAAGTCATTTGAATCACAAGAATCAGAATAGTTGTTAAGGAGGCTGGAAGAGACAGATGGAGCATATGCATCTATTGGAGGACTTTGTGAAAAATGGAAGGTGAAGTTGGTCTGGTCCAAAAAAATCATTACAGCATGCTTCTTTCCTACATTGATCATCAACTCCTATTGTTAAAAATCTCTAAGCCCAAAGAGCTCTTTTATTTTGAATGCATATGTTTCCTGCCCTCAGGTCAAGAGAGCTGAAATAGCTTCTCTTCATGCCTCACTTAGCGCAGTTTCTCTGCAGCGTTCCCTGTCCTTGCCAACTACTTTGGGATAGATTCATTTTTTACTGAATACCTCTGTTTTCCAAGGGCAGGCCGTCAGTGATCTTCGTTTTAAACTCATCCATTGTTTATCACCCAGTATTAGAGGCCTGAGAAAAAGTGTCTAAAAAGAATGCTGTATAATTGAGCAAATGCTCAAAATAGGAAATCTGGTATGGCACTAATAAGACCTTGCTGTTCCTTAGAATCTATCTTAAAAGTAAGTGAAGCATGTAACCCAAATGGTTCTGCTGACTCAATGTGTTAACTTACAGCTAAATTTTTCCATCCCCTCCATGAAAATTATTTTAGATAAAATTGTCCAAAAGTGCGTATGAATCTCTCTCCTGACCCTGTTCAGTCAGATAATGGGGTCATAGTGAACATATGTGCCCATAGGCACCCACCAGGCACCAGGAAGTCTACCATAAGAATTCAAATGTATAGTATTATATTCACAGTCTCTTGGCAAAGGGAATAAATACACGGCTATGGTATCAGTTGACACTATAGCATTGTATTTGTCTAGAATTCTGTATACCTCACTTACATTAATATTAATTCTATGTTCAAGAAAAAGGTATGAATTATATTAATAAATATATCAGTGCTCAATATCCCATGCCACAGTCCATTACCTGTCAGGGTCTTAAAGTACTTGTCAATATGTAGTTGCGTTCATCATCATAGGGTCTGACACAAGCTAGCTCTATTAGTTTAAGCAGTTAGTTAACTTCCAAGCTTTCATTTCTTTATTTGTGAAGTGGTGATTAAATGAGATAATTTTGTCTTTTTTTATTTTATTTTTTATTGTACTTTAGGTGAACGTTTACAGAACAAACTAGTTTCTCATTGAACAATTAGTACACATGTTGTTTTGTGATGCTGGTTACCAACCCTACATGTCAACGCTCTTCAATGAGATAATTTTGATCAAGCATTTAGCACATTCTTGGCACATAATAAATGCTCATAAATTTAAGCTATTATTATTGTTCTACAGGTATATGCATTTATAATGTTCTAGAAACTGAGTCAGAGAGCTCTGAAATAGTTCAGAGAATAAAGCTCCATTATATGCAGTGCTTTGAGTTACATGCGGTAAACAAAAGAAGTTTTTATAATGGAGAGAAAAAAATACAAATTGTGAATGGAATGAGCTATCAAGCAAGTTGAGTGCAGATATTGTTTCATATTTTAATATTGAGCACTGATAATTGTCATTTAAATTTTTAAAAAAATGGAAAGAAAGATTGATACGTTTTTAATGTGCATCTCTTAATGTAAATTGGAAACCCTGGGGGCGTAGTGGTTAAGAGCTATGGTTGCTAACGAAAAGGTCAGCCATTCAAATCTACCAAGTACTCCTTGGAAGCTCTATGGGGCAGTTCTGCTCTGTCCTATAGGGTGGCTATGAGTCGGAATTGAGGTGTTTTTTTTTTGAGTTTTAAATATAGATTAGCGATCAAATTTTTCCCTTGATAAATGTGCTATGCTAATTATGAAATAAAATTAAAAACTGTCACAACAAAAACTAAATCTGAATATACCAATGAATAAAACTTGTGAAAGAAAGTTATAACACAAGAAAATATATGCTCACTGAGAAAGATCAGGTAATTGTGAAAGGAAGTTGAGCGAAATCTCAAATGCCATATCTTTAACTCTATGTTGATGTAAGAGGAACTTCCTTTCACATACATCAGTAAATGAGTAATGAAATATCGTCCTAAGGGAAAATAAAAAATAAACTGTAGCCTGGCATGAGGCATGAAAATCCATCCCAGAAAGTCTGATTCTGTTCCTTGGGGTTGGTCGATAGATATGGTGTTTTCCAAAGCTATCTAGGTGGGTGATTCCGATACCAGCCAGTCCTAGGAACCATTGCTTACACCACACTTCCATCCTCCCACACCCTGCCATGCTTATCCCAAGAAGCACTTATGGTTTCTGGAATCTCTTGAGAAAATATTTTAAATATAACTTCCTACAGCCCCTTCCTGTTTTGGATGCATATGGTAGACACGGCCATGTTGATTTAGAACCATCTTGGAGTTCACGCTTCAGGGACAAGGCCATATTCAAAGGTCCCAGAACATATGCCACAGAAGTCTTCATGGTTTGCCAGGAAAAGATGCCTGTGCTAAGGTGCATAAAAATCCATTCTGCTATTGCTCTAGACCTAAACTGGGATTATATTAAAATTCTTGCCCATCTCACTTACCTAATATTGTAACCCAACATGTGTGACTCTCATCTGACAATAACACAAATCTTCCAATTCCCATAAAAGTCCACCTGAATGAAAGTCACAAATAATTATTTAGTTCTCCCTGCTATATACTGTCATTGCAGTCTGTGTCTTTATTTCCCAGCACTTTTCACAAGTGTAATTAAATAATGCTCTGTGTGATTTGCTTTATTCCATTAGGAAGTTCAAAGAAGAAATGTCTTATTCATCATCTAGCCCCAGGGCGTAGCCTAGTGTGTGGTATATAGCATGGTTATTGAATGAATCAACTGAATTAAAGCTAATCTTTTAGCTACCAATTTTTTATAGTAGATTTAGAATATAAATCTGGAAGCCATATTTCAAAAGAAAGGATTGAGACAGTGCACAGTTAAAAATAAACTGGCCATGTAGACTCAATGAAAAGCTCTATCATCCTTTATTTCAAGGACCCACACTAGAAAATAGGAACTCAAGTCAACCTTAAACAACTGAACCTTGATGTTCATTCTTTATTTTATTTGAAACAAATGTATATTCCAAAGTTTTATGTATTTACTTACACAAATATCATTAATTAAAAAAAATAAATGAAACAACCTTGTTTTTTAGTGTTGGCTTAAGGTTTGGTGCTAAAGGAGCACTAAAGGACTGATAGATTCCAATCATCTTGGAAGCATTACACATTAGAGCAATTCATAAAACTCTGCTGGCAAATACTTCCTTTTATGTGGTGTCTTAGTCATCTACTGCTGCTATAACAGAAATACCTCAAGTGGATGGCTTTAACAAAGAGAAATTTATTTTCTCGCAGCCTACTAGCCCAGAAGTCCAATTTCAGGGGGTCAGCTTAAGGGGAAGGCTTTCTCTCTCTATCGGCTCTAGAGGAAGGTCCTTCTCATCTATCTTTTCCTGGACTGGGAGCTTCTCCAAGCAGGAGCCTCAGGTCCAAAGGAAACGCTCTGCTCCCAGTGCTTCTTTCTTGGTGGTATGAGGTCTCCCCTCTCTGCTCATTTCCCTTTCCTTTTATCTCTTGTAAGGAAAAAGTGGTGAGGGTCACACCCCAGGGAAACCCCCTTTACATTGGATCAGGGATGTGACGTTAGTAAGGGTGTTACAATCTCACCCTAATCCTCTTTAACATAAAATTACAGTCACAAAATGGAGGACAACCACACAGTACTGAGAATCATGGCCTAACTAAGTTGACACATTTTTTGGAGGACCCAATTCAATCCATGACATGTGGTGTCAGGTAGAATCTGATTTTGGAAATAGACAATGAGAAAACAAGCATCAACTTTGCATTTAGAAAAGTGAGCAACAGCAGAGTGATGATCTCAATTAAGATTCTAACTTAGAAATCTTAGTAGAAAATCAGTCTTGCCTTGAAAAAGCTTTTTTACAGTTTTTGAATGAAAGATACAGAT